AAAGGTGTTGAGAAGCTTGACTCCAAAGTTTGACCAAGTGGTGGCTGCCATAAAAGAAGCTAAGGATCTATCCATACTCTCCGTTGATGAATTGATGGGCTCACTTCAGGCCCATGCGGCAAGAATCAATAGAGCATCAAAAAGGAACGAAGCTTCCATGGTGAAGGAGACAACCAACAACGAAAGAGAAAATATTCATTTAGCAGGTAGAAGTCATGGAAGAGGAGGATTTCGCAGCTTCCATGGTGGTCGTGATAACAGGGGTAGATGGAGAAGTGATGGACAGAGACAATTCAATGAACAAAGGAATGTCATACAATGTTACCATTGCAGAAGGTATGGGCACACAAAATCAGATTGTTGGTATAAAAATAAACGAAAGAATTTTGCAGCAGAGAATGAAGAAGAAGACGAAAAGCTGTTTATGGCGTGCATGGATACTAATCCAAAAAAGGGTGACTTATGGTTTGTTGATAGCTACTAATCCAAAAAAGGGTGACTTATGGTTTGTTGATAGCGGATGCTCAAACCATATGACAGGCACCAAATCTTTATTCAAAGAGCTTGATGAGATGCAAAAAATTAAGGTGCAACTTGGAAACACAAAAGGGATGCAAATTGAGGGAAAAAGTACAGTGAAAGTCGAAACCAGTCATGGTAAGATAAAACAATTAGATAATGTTCAATTTGTACCTGATTTACGGTATAATTTTTTAGTGTTGGACAATTGATGACCAGAGGACATTCAGTTCTATTTGATGACAACACATGTGTCATTACACATAAGAAATCATGCCATAAAGTTCAAATTTCCATGACTTCAAATAAGATGTTTCCACTTGATATTTCTAACATGAAAGATTTTGCTCTTGCTGCTAGCATGAAAGATGACTCAACATTATGGCATCTCAGATATGGACATCTTCATATGAACGACCTGAAAATACTCGGGAATGAAGGTATGGTTTTCGGATTACCAAGAATTGACTCAACTAATTTATGTGAAGGATACATTTATGGCAATCAGACTAGGAAGTCCTTTTCTATTGGAAAAGCTAGAAGAGCTTCACATTGTCTAGAACTAATTCACAATTGATGACTAGAGAACATTCAGTTCTATTTGATGACAACACATGTGTTACACATAAGAAATCAAGTCATAAAGTTCAAATTGTCATAACTTCAAATAAAATGTTTCCACTTGACATTTCTAACATGAAGGATTTTGCTCTTGCTGCTAGCACGAAAGATGACTCAACATTATGACATCTCAGATATGGACATCTTCATATGAACGGCCTGAAAATACTTGGGAAAAAATGTATGGTTTTCGGATTACCAAGAATTGACTCAACTAATTTATGTGAAGGATGCATTTATGGCAAGCAGACTAGGAAGTCCTTTCCTATTGGAAAAGCTAGAAGAGCTTCACATTGTCCAGAACTAATTCATGCTGATTTATGTGGGCCAATGCAAACGAAGTCCTTGGGTGGGAGTAAATATTTTTTACTATTCATTGATGATTATAGTCGCATGAGCTGGGTTTACTTTCTATAACATAAGTCATAAACTTTTCAGAAGTTCCAGATTTTTAAAGCTATGGTAGAGAACCAAAGTGGCTGTCACATTAAAGTTCTTTGAACAGACAGAGGTGACGAGTTCATATCTAAAGAGTTTAATCTGTTTTATGAAGAAGAGGGCATTCAAAGGGAATTAACAGCTCCCTACACTCCAGAACAAAATGGAATCGCTGAACGAAAAAAATCGAACTACTGTAGAGATGGAGACTTCCAAACCAATTTTGGGCAGAAGTCGTAGAAACATCTGTTTATCTATTAAACATCTCACCAACAAAGGCGGTTATGAATCGAACTCCTTATGAAGCATGACATGGAAGGAAACCATCTATAAGTCATTTATGAATCTTTGGTTGTGTTGCTTATGCTTTGAAACATCCTCAAATTCGTCAAAAACTTGATAAAAAATCTGAAAAATGCATTTTCATTGACTACGGTACTCAATCAAAGGCATATAAATTATACAACCCTATCAGTGAAAAGATTTTAGTTAGAAGGGATGTAATATTTAATGAAAACGTGAGTTGGGATTGGAGTAAAGAATAGGAGCAGCAAAAGATTATAGTTGAAGTTTCTCCAAATGAAGAGACAAGGATCAACTCCAGTGCATCTCCTAATGCCTCCACTGCAACGCAAAGTGTGTCAAATTCATAATCTTCAGCATCACTAAACAACAATTCTTCTCTTGAAGAACTTTCAGATGAGACACCTCCAAGGAAGTATAAATCTTTAACTGACATATATGCATCATGTCAATTTGCTTTTATTGTTTCAGACCCTATGAATTATGAAGAAGCAACTGAAAAAGAAGACGGGAAGAAAGCCATGACAGTAGAGATGCAGTCCGTTAAGAAAGATGGAACATGGGATATGGTTGACCTACCAAACGAAAAGTTTTATGGAGATTTACAAGAAGAGATTTATGTAACACCGCCAGAGGGATTCATAAAGGAAGACAAAGAAACAAAGGTATACAAGCTGAGACAGACATTGTACGGGTTAAAGCAGACATATTTACGAAGGCCTTGTCAAAAGAAAAGCTTTGTACTTGACATCTGCAACTTTGAATCAAGGGGGAGTGTTGAGATATGATTCAAAGTATTCAAAAAGATATGATTCAGACTAGTTGAGATATGATTCAAATATTCAAACTATCAAGATTTTAGGAGATTGTTAGTAGATTTGAATTTTTCTAGATTTCGATGATTTACTATTTCTGATCCAGTGTATAAGCTATAAATACGGGAATTGTGTAACCCTCTAAGCATCAAGTACACAATAATAAAGCACTGCAGCATTCATCTATTCTATCTATTCTTATCTCTTTCACTATCCTTTTTTCCAACCGTTATGTGAAAGAGTTTAGGAAGCTTGGTATTGCATTAATATTTTTAACCTTACAAAAATCATTTACTATTGACAAAATTTGTTTAATTATATTAATGGAATATCTAAATCGTTTTTGTTACTTCTTTTTTCGGTCAATACGAGCTGATGTGTCGAGTTGAGCATGACATAATAGTGTACCTTTTTACGTGGATATGTTCCGCCTATTTATATTAACCCTATATGACACTACTCTAGAGTTCATACGAGAACTTTATCGACCATTTGGTTGCTTGCTCGAAGTTCCATTACTTCTTTGGGTAATAGGATGGGTCCTTGGCTCGACTTCACGAATCTAAAAGACCTCGTTTTTTTTTTTATTTTTGGGCGCTCATGGCCATTAGGCTATTAACCCCATAACAAATGTCCAAATCTCAGCTGACAAATTTTATTCTCTCCCTCCTACCTCTATTAGATGATATTTTATTGAATTTTTTTTTGACATTTAATTTAGATCAACTAAAAATATTAAAATGAAGGAAGAGATGAGGTTGGTGAATCGAAGTNTAATATGTAAAAAAAAAAAAAAAAAAAAAAGTCTAATTTTGAATTATTTTGTAGAATTTATTAAAATATTTTCAGCAACATGAATTATTATCATAAATATTTATTAGTCAAACATATAGAAATTATGTTTTTACTCCGTTAATATTTTAACTTTTAAAATTTTTAATATATTCTTACCCTTTTAATTTTATATTAAATAATTTACGATAAATTCAATTTTTTAAAATTTTAATTTATAAATCTTTGTTAAGTTGAATTTTATACAAGAATTTCATAAATATTTATTGATTAGTCATTGTTGCTAAAAAAAATATAGTTTTAGTCAATGATTTTACAAATACAAAATTAAATTATATATTATCATACCAATCCTCCAACATTTCTCTCTCCATTGACCATTTCAACTTTCATTAACAACATACAAAGATCATAAGTGTGTTCAAGTCAAACAAGTGACTTTGAACATCACAAATTAATATTTAATAAGTCATGTTATCATGTTTGACCGCTCATTGTTCTAGCGTTAGTTCTAATTTTCTACGGGATCTCTCTTGAAAGAATGACGATATAAAATAGAGAGATCTCTTAGTACAAATGTTTTGGTGATAAGGAATCAATTTAAGGGAAAGTTCTGATACCAAATGATAAGAAATCACTACAAGAGAATTAATGTTCGGATTATCTTGTTAATCGAATATCTTAAGACAAGAACACTTGTTTGAGATCCAAATCACTCCACAAGCAAGATTGATCATGTTTAGCTTGAATGATTTTAAACGTACAATTTAAACTACATAGAATTGCAAAGGAAAGCTAAGAACACTTAACCCTAATGATAAGGAATCACTCCAAAGAAAATAAGATTTGGATTATCTTGTTGATCGAATATCTTAAGACAAGAACACTTGCTTGAGATTTGAACCACTCCACAAGCAAAATTAATCATGTCAAGCTTGAACGATTCTAAACATGCAATTTAAACTGTATAAAATTGCAAAGAAACTAGAAAAACACGGAGGCTCATTTTACTACATTTTTCAAGTCTACTTACAAAGACAACGTACATGACTTTATATAGCCTCAAAATTAAAACCCGTTTCCCTGAGGCATTCCAAGAGTGGTAACTTTCATGTTTTATGACTATAATTAGCCATCATAAACCTTAAAATACATTAAAGAAACACATAACTCTAAATTATCATTCATCATAAATTTGTAACTATCTCATAAGAAATGAAACCATATTTAAAGTATCTTAAAACCCTTGTTATCTAAACGTAATTTGAACAACATTCTTCGCAAACTTGAGAACTCATTGAATCCAGCTACTCCAAAATCAACTTTTGAAAATAGAAAACTTAGTTCTATTTTAATGTCTTTGCTTGGAGCTCACACAAGCCAAGTTAAGCATCATACATTTTTTTGGTATATCATATTCATATATTTAGATATATTATAATCCATTAGCTTTGAGTTGAAGCAACTACAATCCTTATAAATTTATGGGTTGGGTTTGAATAAGTAATCGAGATGGCAACTTCATGTTTTCCTTCATCATCTTTCTTAGTCTACTTCATATTCAGTCTTCTCTCTATACACAGCTGCAAAGGTCATCCAAACAATGCAGCCTTGTTCATCTTTGGGGATTCCTTGTTTGATGCTGGAAATAACAACTACATCAACACCTCTTTCAAAGCAAATTTCGTGCCATATGGACAATCCTTCTTCAAATTCCCGACCGGGCGGTTTTCGGATGGCCGCTTGATTCCTGATTTCATTGGTAAATTAAGTCTCCTTTGATAACGATTTCGCTTTTATGTTATTTTTGTTGACGGTAGAAGTTTGTTTAATTTGCAGCGAAATATGCTAATTTGCCATTGATTCTTCCATATCTTCATCCCATGAACAAAGATTACGTTCATGGAGTGAACTTTGCATCAGCTGGAGCTGGTGCTTTAGCTGAAACCCATGAAGGACTTGTAAGTAAAATTTGGTCTTGTTGTTTCTTAATTACACTATTTGAAGGAGAGCTCAGCCATATTGTGTGTGTTGTTTACAGGTAATTGACCTGAAAACCCAGCTCAGTTACTTCAACAAAGTAACAAAGGTTGTTGAAGGGACGAGACATCCTGCAGAAGCTAAGGCATTACTATCCAAAGCTGTCTACTTCTTCAGCATTGGAAGCAACGATTATATTGCTCCTTTTACTACAAATTCCACCCTTTTCCAATCTCATTCTCCACAACAATACGTTCAGCTGGTCATCCGAAACTTAACCACCGTCATCAAAGTAAGTAGTTCAAATGTGACAGGTCGCTACATATTGTCTTTTTTTGGCTTTTCCTTCTGGACTTCACCTTAAGACTTTTAAAACACGTATGTTAAGGAGAGCTCTCACACCCTTATAAAAAATGTTTCATTTTCCTTTCCAACCGTTCTAGGATCTCACAATCCATCTCCCCATCAAGACCCAGCGTCTATGCTGACACATCGGCTCGTGTCCACCCCCTTTGGGGCTCAGCCTTCTCCCTAGCACATTGCTTGGCATCTATCTTTAATACCATTTGTAACTGTCCAAAGCCCGCCGCTAACAAATATTGTCCTCTTTGGGCTTTCTCTTGTGAGCTTTCTATCAAGGTTTTTAAGACATGTCTGCTAGTGAGGAGTTTCCACACCCTTATAAAAAATGTTTTTTTCTCCTCCCTAACTGATGTGAGATCTCACAATCCACCCTTTTTTAGGGCTTAGCGTCCCCGCCTGGCACTCGTTTCCTTCTCTAATCGATATGGGACTCCCCAATCCACCCCCTTCAAGACCCAACGTCCTTGTTGGCACACCGTTTCATGTCCTACCCCTTCGGGACTCAGCCTCCTCTAATGTTTGGCGCTAATACCATTTGTATCAGCCCAAATGCCACCGCTAGCAAATATCTCTTTGAATTTTTTCTTTTGGACTTCTTCTCAAACCTTTTAAAATGCTTCCTTTGGGAGAGGTTTCCACACTTTTATAAAAAATATTTTATTCTCGTCCCCAACTGATGTGGGATCTCACATAAAACACCTATAATTCAACCTAAAAAAAAAAAAAAAAAACTGATATGAATGATTTGTTTGCAGGGAATCCACAAGAATGGAGGAAGAAAGTTTGCATTTCTAGGCGTCGGAGATATCGGGTGTGTGCCCCTAGTGAAGGCAGTATTATTACAAGGCAAAGATGAATGCTTTGAAAACATTACACAACTTGTAACACTCCATAACAAACATCTTTACAAAACCCTCCAACATCTTGAAAAGGAGCTTGAAGGATTTGTTTATTCCTATGCCGATTTATACACTTCAGCCAACCAAATATCAAAGAACCCATCTAAATATGGTAAGTAGAATCATGCATCTCAGCGTGATCATATTGTCTAGTGTTTCAATGAACTCACTGAAATTTGATCTGTTTGGCAAGGTTTGAAGGAAGGGAAGGCGGCATGTTGTGGAAGTGGGCCTTTCAGAGGGTACTTTAGCTGTGGGGGAAGGGATGGACAAGAGTATGAGTTGTGTAGTAACCCCATGAGTATCTATTCTATGATGCCACCCATCCCACTGAAAGGGCAAACCAATTAGTTGCTGAGTGGGTATGGAATGGGAGCTCCGACAGCATCAAGCCTTACAATCTTAAAGCTCTATTTAATGTTTAAGTTGGTGGTGCGACATGTTTGTTAATGCAATAAGTGGGGTTCTGACCTTATAGCTTGGTAACATATTGGGTGGAACCAATGGTAGTGTGCATAAATTTACCCAAATAAGGATTTTAAGTTGCGTCTTCGTTGGTAGAATGTAAGGTTCTTCTGATCTCTTCTTTGATCATGTAGGTGTGCTGAAATATTTATGAATTTCGATATTCAAATGTCATAAAATTGAGTAAAAACGAATTCTATCGTGGAGCTGTATGCACCTCACAAATAAATATGTTTTGTTTTTTATACTCAAAAGTTATATAATTAGATTTTAGTGGTTAAATTTGAAGATAATGTAAAAGTGAAAAATGTTTTTAAAAAAATTCAGAGATTAAAAAAATATAAAAGAAAATAATAAAATATTTATAAAAAAGTCAAAGTCAACCCTGTAGGGAAGCAAGTTGTCAAGGTTTTGAAACTTCAGTATGATGTTTTTGAAAAAAAATTATACATTTTCAGAATGGAAAGAGGAGTTAAGACATTCAGAAATTGTAAGTAATGTATTTGAACTAATTTTGAATTTAATTATATTAGTAGTTAATTATAAATTACAAGAAAAATATTTTTTAAATATGGATTGAAACACGACAACTTCAATGAATGAACCAAATTAACCAAATTAATTTGAGTTTTGTATGAAAATCGCGTTCGGAGGTGCATGAGCGGACACATGTTAAGCAGCGAGAGGTGAAGTGTGACTAGCTCAACATATGATATGTGTCACACAACGGGTGGAGTAATGCATCTACGTACTATGGTGATGTTCATCACCTTACCCGATTCGTCTCAAAACTGCAACCTACACTTGATGTGTCCAACTTGAAATCACAACTTGAATAGTTTGTCTCTTATCTAACTCAATATGAACGTGCTTATCCATGAGCTTTTCATCCTCGTAGCGAAAACATAGGGAACTGCTTTAATTTTTTATTAAGAATTTAAATAAAACAATCAATATGATAGCAAGAAAAATGATATGTGCCACAATCTTTGCTCGTGATGCCACCGTCATTCGTACATGTGCGCTTTGCTTCTACCTGAAAAATGATATGGCACACAGCTTTAGTATTTCAAAGAATATTCATCGGTGGCATCACGAGCAGAGACTGTGACATGTGCATAGGGTAGACTCCTATTTAAATTCCTAGTCTTGGGATGATTATACGAGACTTCATCTTAATCCTGAGTATGGATGATTGCCTGTGTTTGTATTTGCATGACCCAATCATCCATACTCAGGATTAAGATGAAGTCTCATATAATCATCCCAAGACTAGGAATTTAAATAGGAGTCTACCCTATGCACATATCACAGTCTCTGCTCGTGATACCATCGTCATTCGTACATGTGCGTCTTTCCTTTACTTGAAAAATGATATGACACACAGCCGAAATATTTCAAAGAATACTTAGTAAGTGACCAAAGAGCCATGCAAATGCAAACATATGTAATCATGCTCTTGGGACCTATCTCAAACTACTAGGGGTGGCCTCCAGTCTCAGACTACTATGAATGTGTAGTATTTTCCTACACACGACCCACACGTGCGAGTGTGAATCTCCAGGGGGCTCGCACACGCCCTGAACCCTCTCTAGTCAAGCTACTCTGTAGCAACGTCCGGAGGTTAGTGGAACCCTTGGTGCCATGCTCCCCATGAACACCCTCATCATCATATTGTGCTCGTCCACACTCATCATCTCTAGGGGAAGCATCCCTATGCTTATGAACATACAACATGCATGTGGTCTATCTAATTTCCATCTTATCATCTTTTCTGACACAACCCTCTAGTCTCATCTCTCTTTGTTACATTAAGTAACACATGTTCGTGGATATTTATATTAATATCATTTTCATGCTTTTAAGGTTGTGTCCTAGGTCGATCTATCAACATAATGCAATATGACATTCATCATCATATAGCATGCTTAATATCGAAACATCAACAAAAACATAAAGTAAAAAAGATAAAGATTTTGGGGAGAGAAATATGAGTAAAAAGATACAAAAGTTATGAGTAAATTAGATCTCTTCTCTTTTATCTTTTGCAATTATTTAGATTTTAGATATTATTTTTGTGTTACAGAAAGAATCGTACCCGTTCAATAGGATTCTTTTAAAAGAAAAAAATAACAAATCTATTAAAAATTATTGTAGGTGTGATTTAAGCATGGAATAATATTGGTAAGTTTTTTTATATGTAATGTCAAACACAAATTGATTTCTAAGAATAAGAATTAAGGTAGGTCATGATTGAGAATATGGTAACATAAAAGATGGAGAATTAAACTTGAAATTGATTTCATGGGTTCACATAGCAACTTGGATGGAAACGACAAAATCGAATTTTTATTAAGGATAAATTGGTGACACCAGCCTAAGCTAATCGAGTAAGTGATCTTACTATCGGCATAGTTATATTTGATGTTGACACGTTTCTCATGGTTCTGTACGTGTTATATATATTGATATATGTGAATTGTTTATGAATCAATATGATTATGATATGATGTGTATATGTTATGATATGTGAATTGTATGATGATACTTACAATATGATGTGCTCAATGAGATGTTTGAGATAAGATACGAGAAGATGCGATAAAAGTACTGAAACGATAGGTCTAAGGATATGCATAAGGAAAAGATATGACTATAAGGATATAATTATGATAGATTGATAGAACGATCTGGTTAGGATATGTTCTTCTAACGGTAAGACTAAGATACGTTCATAAAACAGTATGATTTAGGATATGTTGAGATATGATATGGCAAAGGTATGTTCATGAAATGATACGACTCTGAGATGTATAAGGACAATAAGACTATGACAAGTTTAGGAATTGATATGGCTAAGATATGCATATGGGAACGATATGACTAAGGTTCATGAAATGAAACGACTATGAGATGTATAAGGACGATAAGACCATGACAAGTTTAGGAAATGATATGGCTAAGACATGCATATGGAAACGATATGACTACGAAGTGTTTACGAAATGATATATATATATTCTGGTATGATATGAAATATGTTACGGTAGAGATATGTGATAAATTGACATGTTTATGATATGATATTGTGATGCGATATGTGATGGTATGATATATATATATGATAAAAATTGTTATGTCTGGAAGCATGAAACGTTATGATATGACATATTTATGTAATCTAAATAATATGATATGATTGACATACAAAACGACGAACTAGCATGAAATATAACCTCAGCGTATGCAGGAAAGATATGATAAATGATATGATAAACAATATGAAAAACGATGTGATATGTACGAAACGCTAGCGAGGTTGTATTAAACAATAATAAAAAGGGAAAAATATTGGGACCTCATGCATTATTGTGTGCTCATGCGTTAGGGATACCCCTATTCCTTCACAATAATATATAGACGCGTAAACTACTAGGCAAGAGAACGATTATTATGTTTGACATAATGTTGTTGTGACGGCTACTACATCTAACGGGTGTCTGGCATAAAGAGCTACTAGAGCATGCTCGCCCGACAAGGAAAAGGGCCCAGTGGTGTGCGAACCGATTGATGGGTCCACATTCACATGTGTGGGTCATGTGTAGAGTACAAAGTACACATCCAAGCTACCCGTAGTACAATAGGTAAACAAACTTTTATGATAGGTCCCGTCATTGCATTCGCATGCTCTTGTATTTAACCCCAATAGTAGAGTCACTTACTGAGTATTTATTTAAATACTCAAGCCACGTGTCACTTCTATATCAGGTTAAGGCAAGACATTCTTGTACGGTTGATGACGGCATAGCAACTTGAGACCATGACACATGCATAGAGTAGTTGCATTTATTTTTCTTAGATTTAGGCTAGAATAGGATGTTTTTAATGAAGGTGATGTTATTATGAAAATTAAATGAGGTATCTCTGCATTGACGATCTTAAGCTATTGTTGAGTTTATTGGATGGTAAAATCGCTCGAGTGAAGAGTTGGCTTGGTTTACAAAATGTATACTCATAACAAAGTGAATGACTATTTGCAAGCCAAGATTAATTTCTGAAATTTTTTTTCAAAAGTTTATTTCAAGGACTAAAGAAAAATATAAAAAAATATATATATAAAAAAAAAAAATAGAAGAAAAAAAGTGGTCAAAATCAATCTAGAGAAGTTTTTTTTGGTTTGGTTTTTTGTTTCAGTTTTGGCTTAATGCGTTCATCACGATCTTCGTGGACCCTTCCTTTTTAATTTCCTTGGCAAACAAGAATGAGTTTCCCATGTAGTTTTCAAGTAAGCTAAATGGCGTTTCAAACTTGAGTTCTTCTCATTAAAATAATCCTCAATTGTAGCAGATTGAGCTATCTATCAGGTCACCACATCACATGGCGAGTTCAACCAACCTGCGTCTGTGTGTTCTCTTCATCTTCTTCGCTGTTGGGTGCGTTTGCATGCAGGATGAGCAGCTGCACAATCATCATGGGCCTCTCTTCACTTTTGGAGATTCCTTAGTTGATACTGGAAACAACAACTACATCAATACCAGGCGCATTGCCCAGGCAAATTACCCTCCATACGGCCAAACTTTCTTCAAATATCCCTCTGGAAGATGGTCCGATGGCCGAGTACTTCCCGATTTCTTCGGTACCTTCCAATTGTTTCATCTCCTTTTTCAATATGCATACACATTGAACCATGAATCTAAAGGCTGTTCTTTTCTTTTATGTTGCAGCTGAATATGCAGATTTGCCATGGATTCTTCCATATCTTCATCCCGGGAATAAGCGTTACGTTTATGGCACAAATTTTGCATCAGGAGGAGCAGGAGCTCTCCATGAAACCAATCAAGGACTAGTAAGAGTTTTTCTGTCAACCTGAACGTAGTAGTAAAAAGTTATATCATCACCTAAAGGATCATATATTCAGGTAATGAGCCTCAAAACTCAGGCAAGGAACTTCAAGAAAGTGGAAAGGATTCTGAGAAAGCAGCTTGGAAGGACAGGAGTAAACACAATTCTATCAAAGGGTGTCTACTTAATCTGGATTGGGACCAACGATTATAGCGTCTACGCCTCGGACTCGAAGCTTTTCAGTTCCTACTCATTGGAAAAATATGTTGATTTGGTGATTGGGAACTTGAGCTCTGTCATAGAAGTAAGTCAATGGATTCCCTTTATGTTGAGATTTAGGTTTTTTGTTCCTTCTAATACTCAGTTGTTGGTTCAACATTGAACAGGAAATCCACAAGAAAGGGGGAAGAAAATTTGTTGTGATAAATCTTTGGTCTCCTAACCATATACCTCTTGTGCAAGAAGAAGCAGTGGCATCACAAGGCAGAGATGCCCGATTGGGACAACTTAATCACCTTGTAGAATTGCACAACGGGCAACTTTACAAAGAACTCCAAAGGCTCACTACAAAACTCAAAGGATTCAGATATTCCTATGCTGATTCCTATAAAGTGGTCGAAGAAATAGCAAGCAACCCTGCAAAATATGGTATGTGAATTAAAAGAACCTTAAACGAATATCTTAATGTGGGTTTCTTTCTGATTGTTTGGTTTACTTGAAACAGGCTTCAAAGATGTGAAGGTTGCATGCTGTGGAAGTGGGAAATTAAGAGGAATACAAAGCTGCGGAGGGCAGGATACTTTAAAAGAATATCAGTTATGTGAGAATCCTAAAGAGCATTTGTTCTTTGATTCAAACCATGGGAGTGACAAAGGGTATCAAATACTTGCAGAGATGATATGGAATGGAGATTTGAATACTTCCAGGCCCATCAATGTCAAATCCTTGTTTCAATCGTAATTCTAGATTAAATGGACTCTAGTGAGTAATTATATTATCAAGCAAGAAAATAAAACTTTCCGATCAAAAATCTATTTCCCATGATTCAAAATCTCATTTATATGGATGCCTGCTATAGTTTAGGCAAGTAATTTCCTAAATATTCCTAAAAATTTTACTAAGATACCAAAGATGAAGTCAAAATTTCAATCTCAAATTCTAAAACTCACAAGTTTGCAGCCCAAAAAGGTGATACTCCTACATAAACAAGCAAACTCATACAACGATTTAATCAATTCTCGTTTGCAACCATCCCTCAAAACCAACTGGCAGCTGGAGGGGCGCCACCTTCAACTGAAGGTGCTGGTGGTGGTACTGCAGCTTGCCATCCGTCTGATGAAGCAACTACAAAAGGCGAAACACAGAAAAGAAGGCATAAAAATAGAATCCTAATATAAAACAACGTCCTTTTATCTGTTCACCTCAAACAGACAAACCAACCTAATCCTTAGTTGCATTGCATCTTAGGTTATAACTCCTGACTAATGATGTCTAAGATCAAAAAAAAAGAGCTATGGAATGACATCTACGAGGTAACTGGAACTGGACGGTGCTAATTATCGACTTAAACCAAAGTAATTCATCTTGAGCTAAACACATTAATAAGCGCAAACGTTCAAATGAATCATAAAAGGAAACTTGGATTTAACCTGGCTCTTGGGACCACTCGACATTTGAAACCGGTGGAGGAACTAAAGCCGCATCTGGTGGTGGAACCACATCAGGGGCACCCCACTGAGCATCAGAGATTTGTCCAGCCCATTGATCTGAGGTAACAAGTGGAGCAGCACCAAAATCTGCAATGCCATAATCTAGGGGCGCAGCAATAGCCTCTTCTTCCTCTTTCTCCTTGGCCTCCTCGGGCTCACGGTAGAAAAACAAATCCACCTGCATAAGAAACATGTGCATTAGTTCAAGCCCAGGCTTTAATTCAACTTCCAACAACCAAGTGGTTTATATGATAGAAAAGGCAACTCTGAGCTTACCATCACATCCCATTTAAGCCCTGCACGAATTGTGCCACGCATCTGCAGAACCATCCTGGCCAAAAGCCAGAATAGACATCCTATGCTATGTTTCCCCTTGTTATTTGCGGGAATTCCAATATCAACATAACGCATTGGTGAATCAGTGTCACAAAAGGCAATTGTAGGAATGTTTCCAAGGGCACCTTCCTTGATGGGCTGCAAGCAAGAAGCCAACCAGGAAACACAAATAGCAGCAACAAGTCACTAAGGGAACAAACAGAAGTGCATCTAGAATTGCTAAAGAGAAGACCATCATTTCAATTTCAGCTAATAATAGAAAAATGTTATGGGTCTTTAAAAAGACTGAATCACCTGATGATCAGTTCTAGGATCAGTAAGAATGAGAAGACGTGGCTCATTAAACGAGGTCTGAAGCTGGTTGGTGAAGGTTCCAGGGGTGTGCCTCCCGGCTATTGCATGAGCACCAGTGTATTGAGCGAACTTTAAGACAGCCCTCTGACCATAAGGTCTTGCAGACTGAACAATGATATCTTGTGGATTCTCAATACCCACAATGACTCTGGCAGCCAGCTGAAGTTTCTCCCATGTCTTACCAAGGTTAATAATGTAGATTCCTACAGAAATGAGAATTCGGAATAAATATCATTCATATTCAAATTGTGAGATCAGTCCTCTTTGAATAACTCAACATAACTAAATCTAACAGACTGGAAAATGTTTCAAATCTTGAACCACAAAAATTACGGCCATTGGGCAAAGACAAGTAGGAAGCAACTACGCGCGTTCATTATCATTCAATGTCTGATTCCGAGAGAAATCATCGCGAATATTGAAACCGAGAATGAAGGAGCAACAAATGTGAGGGTCTAAAATTGAAGAGTAGTGATAGCATACCATCGTTCCGACGCTTGAAAACGTAACGCTCCATTTGAAAGTTGCAATTCTTAGTGCCTAGATGAACCTCGGAAGCCAACATCATCTGGATATCGGCCTCCTTCTGGGAGAGTTGACGAGGTGGTGTTGCAGTCGCCATGTCCGGATCTTTGTGATGAACCGAGAAAGGAGGAGCAACAGAAGGGTCGGGAGGGTAAGAAAGATAGAAGAAACCAAGAATACTAGCTAGGGTTTTCTACCTTGTTTTCCTTGGCCCAAAACAGAGAATTACAAAATAATTTCAAAACTGCCATCCATAATGAAATGGGCCTGGGCTTAGTTTAATATCAGCCCAATTTTCTATTAAAAAAAACAAAAAACAAAAAACAAAATACATTTGTCGTTTTAAGGTTGTCTTGTGGTGGCATGAATATGGTTTTTTTAGGGTGAATCTAGGTTGTTACAAATGGTATTAGAGCCAAACACCGGACGATATATTAACCTTCTCGTTGTTTCTCGACTGAGTAGACATGAGACCGTGTGTCAGTAAGGACGCTGTGCCCCAAAGGAAGTAGATTTCGGGGTGGTCTCACATCGATTTGAGTAAGAAAGAGTGTCAGCAAAGATGCTAAGCCACGAATGAAAGTAAATTGTGATATCCTACATTGGCTGGTAAGGAGACCAAACCACCATTTAGAAAGATGTAAAAATCTTCCCTTATAATATACATTTCGGGAAAGCCCAAAAAAGATAATCTTTACTTATCTTAAGCTAAGACATATACTGTTCACATCACAAACATCGTAAGTAAAGGAAGATTGATCCCTACATCTTATAAAACTCTCTTATATCTTCCTTCTTCGAGCTCAAGCTATAGGAAACTTTCATCTAGGATACCTCATTTAGGACAACTCATAATGTTCATATGATGAATATTTAGCTCGAAAGGTTATCGACCACCGTTCATCCAAGAGTCTAGAACCCGTGTGTATATATATAATATGTATGAGATGGCTCAAACGAGGTTGTAAATTGTTAGTTGACTTGAACACTATCTATAAATACATGATGATCTACTCCTTCTAGAATTAAGAAAAGAAACACCCAATCACTAAAAGTACTCATTTTTTAAACGCTTACAAGTTTCATTGGAAAAACAGAGCATGAATAAGGAAAACAACTACTAATTCTCTTAACACAAACAGCCACCATCAAAAACCAAGTGGTGTTTCAGGCGACGGCGACCTGCACCGTTTTGGGCTTGGGAGGCGGAGGCAGCTTTCCCACAACCACCACCAACACCCCACTCTCGCACTTAGCAGAAACGGCAGATGTATCAGCATTCTCCGGCAGCCTGAACTTCCTCACCATCTTCTGTGGCGCCTTCCGCTCAAGCCTCAAATACTTGCACCCTTCCTCCTCCCCATCTTCCCTCTTCCTCTTCCCTCCACTCCGAATCACCAGCGTGTTCTCCTCCTCCACCGTCACCTGAATGTCGGATTTCGACAGCCCAGGCAGGTCCATATAGAACACGTATTCCTTCGGAGCGTCAAGGATATCAGTCGGGATGCAGGCCATGCCCTTAGGCTCGCGAGCATCGTCGGAAACGAAGGCTAATTTCTCGAGGGCTTCAGGGAAAGGGAAGAGGGTGCTTATAGCCTGCACCAAATGTCCGTTGGATGAGTTCGAATCGGCGGCCCTGCTCATTGTGAGAGATTGTTACGGCGGAGAAACGGGAATGTGATTGGCGGGGAAGTTGGGGGTGAATTAAAAAGAAGAGGAAGGAAAATTCCAGAGCCTGCTTCAGACTGCAGGGGAAGCGTCTGGAACAATCCTCGTCTTTGACAACTCTTATTCTTGCTGACACGTGTCGACAATCCTACCTGTCGACGTGGTTCATTATGATATGACAATTACTTAGACGTTTGATATTGTCCTCAGTAGGATATTGTCCAATAAACTCATGATCATTCATTAAATTAGTCGTGCGACTTTCATTATCCAACAATTATAACTTTTAAAAATTTAGAAATATTTTTTTAAATAAAATAGAAAGTTTTGGATATTTTTTTATTAATTTAATCAAAATGAGCTTAATTATATATTTAAAAATTAAAAATTCAATTAACAAATTTACGTTACCCACCTAAACTAACAAAAAGTAGTAATAATAATAATAATAATTAAATATTGTTATCATGGTCTAAAAAATAGGATTTTTGGAATGAATTAATTGAAATTAAAAATGAAATTACCGAAAAAGTGGGAAGGGACGCAAATCCCTCCTCCGTCCAATTATGGAATAGACTCCCAGGGGCAACCTCAATAAGGTGGGTGAGGTAGTCAGCCAGGGGTAAAACGGGTATATAATTTAAAACAAGTCTATTACTTCAATTTCCCATAAAAGTTATGGGGCCAACAACATTTAAGTGAAGCCCAACATAAAAGGTTATGGGCCGTACGAGGAGGTATGGTGGCCCATTTAAGGCCCATAACTGTCAATGTCATATAATATTATTTATTTTTTAAAAAAAATGATTGGAAAATGTTGTGAAGGAGGCACATGAATGAAATCCCACCATAATCTACATTGATTTGGATGTGTTGTTATAATTAAGGCTAAAAAACAGGGAGGATTGTTGTTGATCTCTATTTAGGCACATGTTAAAGAGAGGGTGTAGCACATGCCTGCTTCTTTGACCCAACACAAATCTTAGTGGGGGATCTCAAATTTTTCCATTATTGGCCCCCCACTCTTCTAACCCTTCACCTTCTTCCCCTTTTCTCTTTTCGGTAATTTTACGCTTATTAAATAACCTCTCAAAATGTTGCGTCGTTTTGAAACAAACGGATTTGATGTATATCCGACATGTCGTAGGTATTCAGGAGACATCATTTAGGTTAGGAATATGGTAAGCTACGTGTTCTTCTAATATTTTGGTTAGCTCGAAAGAAATTGGTCACTTGGACCACTGCTAGTAGGTTGGTTTTAGATTCGGTGCCAATTAACTTCTTTCTCTTCTCTCTCTCTCTCTCTGGACCACCAAGTAAATGATCATGTCCAATCCGGTAATTCAAATCGTAAATCAAACTATTTCTCTTTACTTTTCGTTTTTACTCAAAAAGTCAATAAATAAATAAATAAATATTTTACTAATTAAAAAAATTAAAAAAATTAAAAAAATTAAAATGTAAAATTGATTAAGGAGATGAATGGAAAAGGGAGTTGGAAGTTGGCTAGTTGGTACCTTAACAACCTAACATCTCTCTTTTTCAAATTGGGATAATTAAGAATAATAATATTTATAAATAAAATAAAATAAAAACCCATAATTTATTTTCTTCAACAAGATTTCACAACCAAAAATAAAAATAAAAAATAAAAACATTAAATCAATTTATACAATAATTAAATCTTCATGTTGCTAATTATTATTCCCTCCTAAGTCCCAACCCACATCTAATTTTATTTTGCTTTCCTCTATGCCTTATACTTCACACTTTTGCCTTCACAAGTGGACCATAGGTTATATGAATTATTAATTCCAAACATTGGTTGGATCTTGCTCAAACATTATAATATACAACCTTAATTAGTAATCTAATTAATTACATATGGTTATTATGTTATATATATATATATATATATAGAAGAATTAGAACAAACAACATCATTCATTATCTTATCTTAATAACTCACTTCTTACCTAATCGTCAATCATTCCATATCAGACGTCCTCACATTATTATCAATCAACACTCGTTCTTTCTCAAACAAGTTTCAATATTTAATTGAAATTAAAACTGGTTTAGCTTCTGCAAACTTTTTCGCCATTTTAAAATTTTAAATCAAACTAAAATTAAAGAATTTATTGAAATGGTTTAAATTATAATGAAGAACGTAATGAATCTGAATTTGATTGCATCAAAGTTTGTCCAAACACAGAGAGGATAAGGTTATAAAAGAGTTGGCACATTAATATGCTTTCTATAATACATAGTCAAGGTTTCTTGTATTAATGAGGATAAAACCGTCCATTAGAGCCCTAATTAATTAATTAATTAATTAATTAATTAATTAATTCATTACTTTTTGTTTTTTAAACTCTAGTTATTTGTTTACTTTTTCCTATTTTAAAATTATTTTCACAAAACTCAACGGATTTTCAAAAATATTAATATTTGACTATTATTTTAAATATAATTTTAAAAGTATGACACTACTTGCTAACAAACTAAATATTATAGAAAATTTTAAAAAAATAAAATTCTAATAAATATACAGAAGAAATGAAATCGAAAAATTAGAGTGATGAAAAAAATTAAAAATAAAAATTTAGGTGTTAATATTATTAATAATTATTTGATGCTGAGCTGTGTTCTTGAATCCATGGACCCACCTCCTGTTTTGTCTCCTTCCTTCTCCCTCTTCCTTTTTATAATTCCGTCCGTCTCATCTCAACCCCCAAAAGAAACACACCCATTCATCTAATTCTTCCCTCAATTTCCTCTAACCCACCGCCATGGCCAAGCTCGGCAAGCTCACGAAGCTGAAATCCGCCATCAAACGCTGGCCATCCATCTCAAAACTCTCCCGCACCACCACCTCCTCCGCCGTCTCCTCCGCCGCCCTCGACGAAGACCACAATCTCCACCCCGTGTTCGTGGGTAGGTCCCGTCGCCGCTACCTCCTCTCCTCCGACGTTGTCCAGCACCCACTCTTCCAGGAGGTGGTGGAAAAGTCGTCCCCCAATTCCGATGAACAGGGTGTTGTCGTGTCGTGCGAGGTTGTCCTGTTTGAGCACTTGCTGTGGATGCTGGAAAATGCGGATACCCAATTGGGGTCCGCCGATGAACTTGTCCAATTCTACACTTAGAATTGTGGTACATGTATATCATGATTCTTATTTGTGGTTGCTGTTGTTGTTCCAAAATAGAAAAATATATATAAAACTAAATTAACCCATTTGATTAATTTTGCCCTGCGTCTTGAAGAAAACAGGGGGTTTTCTGAACCTGGGTTTTGCTACCTTCTTCCCATTTCTGTTTCATTTGTTGTATTATTTTCCCGGAAAGCTTGTCAGTTCAATTCTGAAATTTTCTCGTCATCCAAACACTGTGTATTCTGTGTTTTTGTTTCTTCAAACATTTTGTCTCTACATTTTGTTGGTTGGTTTTATTCTTCCTGTTTTATTTATTAATCTAATACTCAATTATATTGTCTCTAAATTTGTCTCAATTTCTCTCTCTTCACCTCTAACAAAACTCCATGCAATTTTTTATTTAAGAAATACAAACTAAAATCATGATAGCTTATGCTCAAAGTAACAGAATCATACCACTATGTAAAGTCGTATTCGTCTAACAGAACTGAACCGTTCAAATAGAGTTCATAATTAAATTTTTTATTTTGTTAAACGGTTAAATTTTTTAATTATTTTAAAAAATCATATTTATCCGTCACAAATTTTGATTATAAAGCTCTAAGATTTCTAAATAAGTAAAAGAAGTTTGTTATGCGGCATGACTAACATGACTGTGACATCTTCTCTCACTTAATTGGTTGACGTTTATGTCAACCGACTAAAGAAAATGTTAACTCGTAAATCGAATCGATTTTTTTTTTACTCAATCAGTTGAATTTTTTTCTTTTTTTTTTTTTTTTTTTTTTTTTTTTTGGTTTATTACTGTTTTATTGAATTTCTTTTCATTAATTTATCCAATTCTATGATATTTTCTATCCTTTTAAGGAATATTTACCACACGATTAGTATAACATTATCATACTTTTTCAACTCAACTTTCTATAACATTTTATATATATATATATTTATAAAGATAATTTTGTTTTTAATAATTGAGGCAGGGCCCATCATATTGGAAGAATCCCAATTTGAAAAAAAAAAAAGAAACTTAGGCTATGATACATTTCTATCATAACTTTGACCAAGACTTTAATTATTAATTATTTATATAAAAAGTATAAACAAAATTAAATATTTATTTGTTAGGAAAAAAATATATATATATATATAAAAAAGAGAAAGTAATTAATTGAATATATGGAAAGAAATAATAAAGAAGGCCTGCAAAATTGTATAATTTAGAGAGGACAAAAATTGGGGTGGAATTATAAAGTTGGGCTTTAATTTACAATAATTTTTTAAAAAAATATAATTGAGAGTTAGGGTCACATTTTATATTGCACATAATGATTGGGTAGTTACACAAACCTACCTGATTATTATTATTATTATTATTATTGTTATTATTATATCATGCAAAGAAATCATGTAAGTTTTCAACATTCTTATTCTTTGTATTTGTGCTGACTTTTTTATATTTTAGACTATGGTTGGTATGTTTATTTCAATTCATATGCCAAATGCCAAAAATAAACAACAAAATAGGAGAGAATGTAGCGAGATGTTAATTTAATCTGTACAGATATTTTATGAATGGGTATTTTATGAAGATGTTAGGGCTCGAAGAGGTAGATTGTGAGATCCCACATCAATTGGAGAGAGGAACAAGTTTTAACGAGGATGCTGGTCACGAAGAGAGTGGATTGTAAGATCCCACCTCAGTTGAAGACTTTTCTCTATCAAACATGTTTTAAAAACTTTGAAAAATAAATGATAATATCTACTAGCGGTGGGTTTGAAGAAGAGACCATCTAAAATTGAGTTGGTTTAAAATTTGAGATTTATGTTTTAGGTTCATTAATTTTTTTCTAAATTTAATTTGATGATAAATTTAAAAAACAATTGGTGTGAAATTTTAAATTTTTAATAATGCCAATGAACT